CAATTCACAGACGAGTCCGACCGTAGCGCCAAACTGCCAGACGAGGCCGAGGGTGAGAAGTGGCGGGAAAAGAACCAATGTCAAAGAACAAACTGAAGACACGTGCCTCTGTTCAGCGACCACGGCTAATAAAGCGTTTGCATCCTTTGTCCATAAATCGAAAGGACAAGACCATTATACGTAAAGGCTTTGCAGAGAATAAAACAGTCACTGCCAACGATGTATAATGATTGCAGGGATGACGTCACCCGCCTGCAATCGGATGCACCTGACTGACACTGGCCTTGCACAGACTAAATACGCAGAAATAAAAGAAATCCGCATCCTCTGGCAAGGAACAGAAGCTTAAACCCGAGTTCATCTGCCGCAAATAAATTCGCAAATAAATACGGTTTGTAAGTAACAGCGTTAACGATCCTGCTCTGCAAGGCTGGACCTGTTCCAGATGCGCCAAAGGGAAGGAGAGGGGGCTGGGGAGGGGGAGGGGGCGGCCCACGAACTGCAGCGTGGACATTCAATGCGAGAACAGCAAGAAGAGGTATGAGGAAGGAAGAGAAATAAATGAGGAGGCTCAAACAAAGAGGAGGAAGAGGAGGAGGAATAGTAGTAGTAGTAGTAGTAGTAGTAATTGTTGTAGTGGTGGTGGTGGGGTGGTGGGGGTGGTAGTGGGGGTAGGAGGATGAAGATGAGGATAAGGATGATGATGATGATGAGGAGGAGGAGGAAGCGAATGAGCAGGAGGAAGAAGAGGAGGAGCAGGAGGAGGAGGAGAAAGAAGAGGAGGAGGAGGAAGAGAAAGAAGAGGTTGAGGAGACAAAAGAAAAGGAGGAGGAGAAAAAGGAGCAGGAGAGGAGAGGAGAAAAAGGAGCAGGAGGAGGAGGAGGAAGAGAAAGAGAAAGCGAGGAGGTGGAGGAGAAAGAACTACAGAAACAGCATAGAGTCTAACATCAATAAAACCTAAAAACATCGAGCTAAAAATCAAGACCTGATCAGAAAAAAATAAATAAGTTGGCTGCGTCATTACTGGAAGAGGACGCAATTCCCGCATAAGTAACGGCCCTTACCCGGAGACGTCCACACGCGCGTTCATTTGAATCTAATCAAGCGAGCACGCTAACAGGTGCTCGCGACAGGACACCGCTCGCTGGCCTTAGCGAACGCCGCATTCCTAGATTCTCTTACTACATTTACACGCAGAAACACACTTACTCATATGATAATTCACAGGGTGTACACCCATACATTCATATATATATATATATATATATATATATATATATATATATATATATAGACACACACACACACACACACACATATATATAAATAAATATATATATATATATATATATATATATATATATATATATGTGAGTGTGAGTGTGTGTGTGTGTGTGTGTGTGTGTGTGTGTGTGTGTGTGTGTGTGTGTGTGTGTGTGTGTGTGTGTGTGTGTGTGTGTGTGTGTGTGTGTGTTGTGTGCACGCGTGTGTGTGTATATATATATACATATGTACATATACATATATATGTACATATAAATATAATATATGTATATAATATATATATATATAATATATATACACATATATATACATTATATATATAATATATATATATACATATATATACATATACATAATATATATAATAAAATATATATATATACATATACATAATATATATATATATATATATATATATATATATATATATATATATATATATATATATATATACACACAGCCAGACATACATGCATGCATGCATACATACATACTACACATATTTTATTCTATGTATGTATATACATATATACATATGTATACACTATATATATACATATGTATACACTATATATATACATATATATACACACACATATATACATATATATATACATATGTATATATACATATACACGCACACATATGTATATATACGTACACTCATACACACATACATACATACATGTGTGTATGTATGTATGTATGTATGTATGTATGTATGTATGTATGTATGTATGTATGTATATATATATGTATATATATATATATATATATACATACATGTGTATATATATATATACACACATTGTGTGTGTGTGTGTATGTGTGTGTGTATGTGTGTGTGTGTGTGTGTGTGTGTGTGTGTGTGTGTGTGTGTGTGTGTGTGTGTGTGTGTGTGTGTGTGTGTGTGTGTGTGTGTGTTGTGTGTGTGTGTGTGTGTGTGTAAGTGTGTGTGTGTGTAAGTGTGTGTGTATGTGTGTTTGTGTATGTGTATGTGTGCACGTGTGTGTATGCACGTGTGTGTGTGTGTGGGCACGTGTGTGTGTGTGTGGGCACGTGTGTGTGTGTGGTGGGCACGTGTGTGTGTGTGTGTGTGTGGGCACGTGTGTTGTGTGGGCACGTGTGTGTGTGGGCACGTGTGTGTGGGCATGTGTCATGTGTGTGTGTGGGCATGTGTGTGTGTGGGCAAGTGTGTGTGTGGGCACGTGTGTGTGTGCACGTGCGTGTGTGCGCATGTATGTGTGTACATGTGTATGTGTGTGTGTACATGTGTATGTGAGTGTGTGCACATGTTTATGTGAATGTGTGTGCACATGTTTATGTGAATGTGTGCACATGTGTATGCGAATGTGTGTGCACATGTGTTTGTGAATGTGTGTGCACATGTGTATGTGAATGTGTGTGCACATGTGTATGTGAATGTGTGTGCACATGTGTAATGTGTGTGCACATGTGTATGTGAATGTGTGTGCACATGTGTATGTGAATGTGTGTGCACATGTGTATGTGAATGTGTGTGCACATGTGTATGTGAATGTGTGTGCACATGTGTATGTGAATGTGTGTGCACATGTGTATGTGAATGTGTGTGCACATGTGTACATGAGTGTGTGTGTGCACATGTGTATGTGAATGTGTGTGCACATGTGTACATGAGTGTGTGTGTGCACATGTGCATATGAATGTGTGTGCACATGTGTATGTGAATGTGTACACATGTGTATAAGAATGTGTGCACGTGTATGTGAATGTGTGCACGTGTATGTGAATGTGTGCACATGTGTATGTGAATGTGTGCACATGTGTATGTGAATGTGTGTGCACATGTGTACATGAGTGTGTGTGCACATGTGTACATGAGTGTGTGTGCACATGTGTACACACATGTGTGTGTGTGTGCACATGTGTACATGAGTGTGTGTGCACATGTGTACATGAGTGTGTGTGCACATGTGTATGTGAGTGTGTGTGCATATGTGTATGTTAGTGTGTGCACATTTGTATGTAAGTGTGTGTGTGCACATTTGTATGTGAGTGTGTGTGCACATTTGTATGTGAGTGTGTGTGCACATTTGTATGTGAGTGTGTGTGCACATGTGTATGTGGGTGTGTGTGCACATGTGTATATGAGTGTGTGTGCACATTTGTATGTGAGTGTGTGTGCACATTTGTATGTGTGTGTGCACATTTGTATGTAAGTGTGTGTGCACATGTGTATGTGGGTGTGTGTGCACATGTGTATGTGGGTGTGTGTGCACATGTGTATATGAGTGAGTGTGTGTTTGCATGCACCTTTGCGTAGATCTGTGTTTGTGTGTGCATGTGTGTGGCATTTGTACATGCGTAAGTGTACATGCGTTGTATATGCACGTGTGCTGTAATTGTATATGTGTTGTATGTGTACGTGTGTTGTAAGTGTACATGCGTAAGTGTACATGCGTTGTATATGCACGTGTGCTGTAACTGTACATGTGTTGTATGTGTACGTGTGTTGTAAGTGTACATGTGTTACATGAGTACTTGTTTATGTCTACATGTGCATGTATAAGTAAATGTGTGCTGTGCACATAAATATATATGTGTGTACATGCATATATGTGTACTTATGTTCGTATATAAGTAATAAATAAATACATAATTACACATAGTACGAATATTTTTAGATGCTTTTTATCTACATTGTCCTTGTGAGGGGCATCGGACATTGATCTCCCTGTCCCGGTGTAACGATAAGATATAGCTGATAAGTAACGATATACCAAATATAGAAAAAAGACTGACTGCTGGCAAATCAATTAACAAAATCGTGAAATACGAACAACACTAGCAACAAAATTAGATTTGAGATATCCCCCAAATATGCATTAAAATTTCATAACCGCGTCCAGTTTGTCGTGTTTTTGCCGAGCTATGAATGTAACTGCCAAGGGCCGCCCACTTGAGGACGAAGCACGCTCTTTGTCCACGAGTTATATCACGTTCACTTCCAGATCGAAACGTTCGCAGCCAGCGTCGACCCACGGACTCCCACACACACGGAAGAGACCAAGATGCAAACAGACGTACAAAAGAATACTCAAATCCCACTGTAAATAATACATTCCGTTGTTGCATAATACTTAATAACTAACCAAAAACAGTAATCCATTTAGTCTATTTCTAGATCTAGTGGTGACCTTATGGGGGTCTCGCGAACTAAGGTTTCCCCACTTCTCATGGGGATTCCTAATGTGATTTTTTATTTGCTTACAAGAAGAGAAGCTGTAGGCGCTACTATGAGGATTCTCATAATAGGAAACACTTCAAAATATACATTTTAATAAATCACCATAAACGTTTCTTCTATTTTTTTCTGCACTTTATTTCTTTGAGTATACCCCCTTGCAGACGGGATAAGCAACATGCTTAATCACATATATATCTTAATTCTTTCGACACTCATATTACTAGAGTTGTAACATTACTATATCATGTATATATGACTATTTTCCTACTTTTTTCTAAAACACATCTCATAGAAAACGGAGTCTTATGGTAAACATGGAACATTCTAGATCTTCACATGGTTTCTCAAGCATTTCTGGGCCTCATATATGTAATGGCTTCACTTTCCTCCTTTGGTGTACCGAGAGATTCACGCTTTTCGCAAATATGTGAATTAACGTTGTTCACAAGACCGCCACACAAACAAAACACTGCATGACAACACACACCGGTCTCTTGACATTTCACTGGTATGGAATTTCTGGCCTCTTTTACGATTCTGTATTATGATTTTCAAGATCTGCACTTATTCATCACTCGTGCTGTATCAAATGAGCAATTTACAAGGTCCACAAGCCTCAAAAATCACTAAAATCTTAAGAATATCCACGCCACCTCCTTGTGAATCAGCAAGGTTGAACGATACACAACACACAAACCCAAAGCGCACTGTGATTGGCTGGACTGTGATGACGTTTCCTTCAGGTTGTCGTGGTTGGCCGAAGCTTTATGACGCAATCATCCGGTCGTTACGATTGGCTGGAGTACGGTGACGTCATTGTTGGCGATGTGGTGAGGAGTTCGCGCTTGTTTAAATTACGCGACTATATGAAATTGGTGTCTGCACTCTGTAATTATGAACTTAGAAGATGACACATAAATATTCAAATCTGTGTACTTACTTTTTTCGACTGTTTCTTCCTTTTCCTTGATTTTTCCGGGGAAGAAACGGACATTTGGCTAGGAGTAATTTGGACAACTTTCGATGGATCTTGTATTAGCGTTTGACTGAAGTCGATCTCTATAGGTTCCCCGAACACGGTCGATGGAGACAAACTCCTCATAACAGGGAGTTCTTCAATTACAGGGCCTTCCATTTTTCCGAATGCGATCTGCAAATGAAAAGCAAAAAATAATTACCCACCAAAATACACTTTGTAAACGTGCATCGTCATGCTTAACTATCAGAAACCTTGAAACGAATAACACTACATCTTACTATAAATTCTACTTAAGAAACACCTTTGGGAATATCTAACTGTTAAAAACAGTTAGTTAAAGAATCAGCGAAACAACTTCTTACCAATGAGCTAACTGTCGATTTAGAAAAGTCGGTTAATTCAGTGATACACGAAGAAAACCTCTGCCGAAGGGACGTCGAACAGTTCCTCACGGGGCCAACCCAAAACTCTGGTCATCAGTGTAGTAGCGGGGCCCCTGAATACGCATGACGCGCGCACCTCTCTATCACTACTCGAGTTAAGTTCCAGGGGAGCACACTCTCGTTCACACTATGTTGCCGCCTTATCTTCAGTTCTTAATTAGAGCAGTCGGAAAGCACAGTGGAAGGATTCGTGGCCTTATCTACAGACTTTTTAGACGTCTCTTTTGACGTGTTGAAGCTCATGACGCCTGTCGCTCCTATCGAGACTGCTTTAGTCGAACTCGGTACCTCAGCAATCAGGCATCAACTTTTTATGATTAAACATTCGATATTAAAATACTATCAATATGGTTTATATCTGCTAACCTAAAATGTATTGCACCCGTCGAGGAAAATACTTTCTCCGATGCCGTGCCCGAGACAAATTTTACCACCGTCATCACTGTGCCACATTCAAGTTTTATAACTTTTGCTGAACAGGTGAACAATATCACCTTTCTCTCCGTCCCTGTTTCCCCTCTTCTCTCTCCTATTTCGTTTTTCCTACACATTCTCCTCCGGTCACCTTTATTTTTTCCTTTTTCTCTCTCTGTCTCCTCCAATCTCTTCGTGTTTTGGCTTATCATCCTTTTTTCGTCTCATTTCCCATTTCGTATCTACCGTTTCTCTCTTTTATTTTTCTTGTCTCTTGCTTTACCTTCCCCTTTCTGTCTCTTCTCTTTTATAATTTCATTTTCTCAATTTACGGCTGTTTCCCTTTCTATGGCTTATTTTTTTTATATATATTCCTGTACTTCCCCACTATCGTTTTCTTCCTACTCACCCTCGGTCACTTATCCAAGGATAGTATGAGAAGGCAGTACCATGCAAGCAAAGCAAGCAGCAGATCACGTGACCACTTCCAACGCAGGCCCTCGCGTCGACTGATAAAAGTTTGAACGACCCTGAGGCTGAACCTTACCAGGCGGGGAAGCATCTCCTCCTCCTCCTCCTCCTCCAATTCCTTCCTTCTTTCCTCCGCCTCCTCCTCCAATTCCTTCCTTCTTTCCTCCTCCTCCTCCTCCAATTCCTTCCTTCTTTCCTCCTCCTAATCATTCTTTCTTCCTCCTCCTATTCCTTCCTTCTTTCCTCCTCCAATTCCTTCCTTCTTTCCTCCTAATCATTCTTTCTTCCTCTTTCTATTCCTTCCTTCTTTCCTCCTCCTATTCCTTCCTTCTTTCCTCCTCCAATTCCTTCCTTCTTTCCTCCTAATCATTCTTTCTTCCTCCTTCTATTCCTTCCTTCTTTCCTCCTCCTATTCCTTCATTCTTCCCTCCAACCTTCCCCTGTTCCTTCCCTCTTTCCTCCCCTTTCCATCTGCCATTCCTCCTATTTCTTCGCTTTTCTCTTATTATTTCCCCTTATCTCTCTTTCCCTTTTTCAGTTCTTTATCATGTTTCCTATTGTCATTTTCTTATCAGTCCCCTCTTCTGCTCTTCTATTTCCTTCTCTTTGTTATTCATAAACTCTGCGCCATTTTCATTGATTCATCCATCCCCCAAAACTGAATATTAACAATAGTATTATTTTTTGTTTATATCATATTTCAGTGACTCGAGTTTTATTGTTTTTTATCTATTTTTTGTATTACCCCGGTAATGTGAACTGTTTTTTTCAATATTTTTTAACCCGTTTTGCTCGAGGTAATGGGTATGAGAACTTATCAGAGATCATTCTAAGACAATTATGCATCCACGCTATGTACGAACGCACTTGTGTAGAATAGTAAACAGACACGCATTCCTTTTTTCCTATCGTAGCGTATAAACGCAGCCACATGCATAAAAGACGTACATTTACATGTGCACAGACGTGTTTGCATGAGTTTATATTTAGCAGTGACTCCGCACACTTGGCCTGTTTGTTATGGCTGCCACAAAGAAGGTGCGATGTCATGATAAATTATGATTGTTGAAGAACTTGGATTTCAAAAATATTTTAATCCAAGGGAAGAATCAACACGCATTCAGACATTTGCCGTACTTTATGTTATTTTACTACTTTATATGGATTTTTGGAAATATACTTTTATGGACATTTTGTTAGACATATGGCGTACTTTATATTTCTCTCCTACTTTAAATTGATTTTTAAAATTATATTTTTATGGATATTTTGCGTGTTGTTAGTATCACTGGGTAAATATCACATGAGCTGTAAGTGCGGGTGTTGGTGGATAGAGGGCTCTCGCAAATGTATATGGAACTGTGTACGTGTTCGTCGATTCGTGATGGTGTGTGAGCTTAGTAAGTAAAGAATTAATGATGATTAATAACACCATGGGCAAGAGAATAACTGGCGTGTTTTGATATAGTTTCATCAAAATTATAACGTAGCTGAAGATTAAAGCGGAAAGCGCCCATATTATTCTTACTCAGTGAAGTTATTCTCACTGGTACCTCCTCTGCCGCAAAGAACAAAGTCCCAGAATGTACAATGTTGTTCGTGAGATCTTACAACACTGTCTGGGTTGTCAAGCGTTTTGAAGGCTAGGCAAGGATCGCTTTAAATGTTGTTCGTGATATATTAGAACACTTGGTTGTCAAGCGTTTTGAAGGTTAAGCAAGGATCACTTTAAATGTTGTTCGCGATATATTAGAACACTTGGTTGTCGAGCGTTTTGAAGGCTAAGCAAGGATCACTTTTCGAAGCGCGTGAATCTCAGGACCCAAGTCACCTTATCCGTTCCCTCGACACCTAAACCTCCCTAGCACGTCGATAATTCGAGTCCAAAGCGAGGCACACAAGGATCCCCTGCCGGCATGACGTGTCCACATACTCCAAGTTAGGTTAAATAACGCGGGATCATTAATTCACAAGCACGATCCGGGATGGGCCGAAGATGGTGCAACGAAATCTTTTAATTGCCTGAAGTTAGCGGCTCTGGGCTTCGTTTTTACCGCTGACTTATAGTAGATTCTAACAGTTTCATTATTCCAGGAAACATTAACAACCGTAGAGTAATGTAGTAATTTATCTAAGATAGTAAAGCCAATTATATATTAATATATCAATCAATTTATCTATCTGTCCATCTATCTATCTATACGCTGTGTGTGTGTGTGACATACATACATATAAGTATACATACATAAATACATTAATACGTACATATAGAATTGTAAGCACACACACACACATGCATATATATACATACATATATATTATTTATATACTATATATATAGTACACACACACACACACACACACACACACACACACACACACACACACACACACACACACACACACACACACACACACACACACACACACACACACACACACACACACACACACACACACACACACACATATATATATATATATATATATATATATATATATATATATAATATAATATATATATATTATATGTATATACACACATATACATATACATATGCATATTCATTTATACATATACATGCACATATACATATATATATACTATCAATGATAACAATGATGATGATAATAATGGTGATGATAACAATATTAGTATAATAATAATGATAATAAAAATAATACTGATAATACTACTAATGATAATGATGACAATTGCGATAATAATAATTATAATCTAATAGTAATAACAACTAATAATAATAATTAATAATAATAACGATATAATAATGATAATAATAATAACAAAAACAATAGTGATAATGATGATGATGATGATGATGAGGAGGAGGAGGATGATGGTGATCATAAAATTCATAATCACAGTAATAATAATCATAAAAATAATAAAATAAATAATACTGATAACAGTAATAAAAATTAACCAGGAAAAAATGTAAAAAAGGCGCTATAGGAAGTATGAAGAACGAACATGCTAATTGGCAGGAAACATGACGATGACTGAAGCTTTCTCTGAGCACAGATGCAAAGTAAAGGTGAAATGAATGATGCTGTGATTGCAACAGATTCAAAAGAAGGGTGATAGGAATTGGTGGCTGAGATTGTAGAATTAGTTGCAAGCATAATGTGAAAGAGAGGTATTTCATCTGCATAATATTATGTTTTATACACACGCACATACATACATACACATATACACATGAGCGCGATATAGATACGTAGACAGATAGATAGACAGATAAATAGATAGACAGATAGATAAATAGATTGATAAATAGAAGTATTTAGATAGGTAGATAGAGA